TCAAAAGGGATGTACCAGATACCATCAAAGATAAAGAGTGCAGTCAATTCTTCATTTAGCAAGAAGGAAGCATATAAATTCCAAGTTACCGTTATACAAGTCATTAAAAGAGTAAAACTAAACAGTTGGGAAAAGCTGGATAACCAACTTGTTCTGAAGCTAGCAGCAGAAAACCTGGCAACCTGAGCTGAAAAGACGGCACTCAGTCCTGGAGTTTTCAACAACAGTACTGGACTTCAAGTTCAGCTCACCAGTGAAAATGTGGGGGGAAAAACTGCAGCCAAAAGTGAAACTATTAAAATACATTAAACTGAATTTAAAAAAAAAAACAAACAAAAAACAGCATTGGAAAAGATGCTCTGTGTTTTTTGATATGTTACTTTAAATCACTAAAATAAAATAATCTCTGAGTTTTGGGTTTTTTTTTCATTTTTGGAGCCTTAAAAGAGCATCAGTTTCAGCTAGTTAGCTATTACAGTTTTCACAGGCTTTCGTTTCTTGACTTAGAGACAAAGAAAATTCTAATATCCCAGGTGATACATTCTTTGTTATCCTAAATCCAAATTATTTTTCCCAATATATATTCAGAGAAAGCTAGACTCAAGAAATAACTTTTTTTCAGTTGGCATTCTACTACCATTCAATCTACTAAGTAAAGAACTCTTTTTGGTTACATTGCAGTGGAACTTGAATTAGTGATACCTGACCTATTAATGCTAAATTTTACTTCCACATTCTGTAATGATTTGTAGAATTATATGTTTAAAAAAAGGTCAACTTGATAGAAAAAATGTATTCTTTATAAAAATCACACTCTTATTTTAGCAGTGATGCTTTTTCAGTGAAAAAGTGATTGCATTTCTTTCTAAAGCTGTTACAGAATGAGGAAAACATGTGGTTTGTTAAAAATTGACACACATTATCTTGTAAGACAGGTCATTACAGAAGAAAAACAAAATTTAGTAGGATAAAAAAGAAATTGCACTAAAAAGCCAAACAGGAAAAAGAAAATGTCAGGCAACATATTCAAAGTTCTGAAAACCCAGTAAAGTTAAAATAATGCAGCAATAACTTTTCCATAAAGTTGTACCTCAACTTTTAAGCATGATATATCTTTTTTCATGATAGAACATCAAAAGAATTTCCTATGTTCTTCAAAGAAATGCTAGAGATCCACTTGTATCTAAAACACTCAGAATTCTTCCCATATCATTTCAGTCAGTAACACATCGCAAAACAGTCTTTCAACTACTTCTTCAAGACATCCTTTTGAGATGACAGTATTACAAAATAAGCAGCAATACATGATCTGTAGAAACCTTAACCATCAGTACTTTCAGCTAGAACAAGCTCTCACGTTGAGTTTGTCTCCACTTATCTGGGAGATTACAGGCATATATTCTTTGGTTTATTGCTCAAGAGATCAGACTTATTAAAAATCTTACGGATTTTAAAGGTTCTACCCTCAGAATTTTGATAACTAGATGACAGTAAGAAAACAAAGGCTATGACATCACCTTTGGTAAATATGCAAACATTTCTGAAGCTCTTATTGCTTTAGAGCAATTCTAGTTCTTCAGATATTGGCAGAAGAGTTAATTCTTAGTACAGTATGTATCGATATATAAATTATCTATTGCAGGATATCTTTGAAATGTAACACAGAAACCTAAATTTCGCAACAAACCACCAAAAAAATGAGAAAACTGTGCAAAACCATTCCAGTGAATACAGAATAAAACAAGTAACTTGTAAAGTCATATTGCAGAATTCACAAATCAGAATTACAGTCATTCGGTGTTGTTATCTCCCCTCTCCCATGTCTAGATAAATAAAAAACTAAATACTTCTGTAAGTTTCTGAAGTTTTACTACGTAGAGCCTTGAAAAAATTGGTATTTTTTTCAGCTGTACATAAGATTACAAAGGGTTTAGTTCTGGGGTGGATTTTTTTTACTTTTTTTT